GGAGCAGGAGGGGACTGACGAGCCTGCCGAGATGTGAGAGGACAGAGAGAGTCCAGAGAGGATGAAAGAGTAGAGAGGAGAGTTTCTGCAGCAGAGTTTGGAGGCAGGAGTTGGAACGAGTCAGAGGAAGGGAGGGCTGAGAGCACCGATGAGGCAAAGGTAGAGGGGGAGAGGGAACGAAGGTTACGGCGGACAGGTGCAAGATGAGAAGAGATTAGTTTGTTATGTTTGGAAACGGGTAGAGAGAATGAAATGAAGAAGTGAGAGGTTAGACGTAGTGCAGTTCTTTGAGAATATGAGATCAAGGACATTGCCAGCTTTATGAGTTGGTGGGGACGGAGACAGTGAGAAGGCAAAGGTGGTTAAAAGAGATGTTAATTCAGATGTCTTCCCTGTCTGGAGGTTGAAGTCTCAGAGAAGTACAGCGGGAGGGCCAGTTTCAGGGATGTGTGAGAGGAGATTATCTAATTCCTCCAAGAAGTCCCCCAAGGCGCCTGGTGGACGGTAGAGAACAACAATGGTTAATTGTATATGATGGGTTACTGTGACGGCATGGAATTCAAAGGTGGAAGGAGTGAAGGTGGAGTAGCTTGAAGAGGGAAAAGCTCCATTTGTGAGAGAGCAGGAGACCAGTGCAACCTCCTCTGCCAGTGGGCCTGGGTGTATGGGAGAAGGAATATGCTGTGTAGAGAGCTGCTGGGGTGGATGTGTTGGAAGGAGTAATCCAGGTCTCCGCGAGAGCAAGGAAATCCAGCGACCGCAGGGAAGCGTAGCCAGAGATGAAGTCAGCCTTAGGAACAGCTGACTGGCAGTTCCACAGACCACCTGAAACTAGATGTTGGATCTCAGTGGAGCATGTGGGATAGACGAGAGCAGGCCAGTTATATCGATTAGGAGATACACGGGGCCAGTGATAATTGCGAGAGGACACATGAACAGGAATGGAGAAAATACACATGATTATAGCATGAGGGGCTAGACTTAGCACAGTTAAAGTAGGATTTGCCTCCTCTTTGCGTCCAACAGGACTCCTTTGTCTTTGTCAGTCTTCGTCAGTCTGACGCTCCAGGAAAGTGCTGCCTAAAATGGACACCAGTCCTGATTGCTGAGTTGTCAGAGCTGTGGGGCCACGCCCCTTTAATTAGTTAACTCTCTGCAGCTGGTGGGCAGCAATAGGAACTGGCTCACTTTACACTAGCTGGAGTCTCCATGCCTTTCTTAATGAACTTTTTAATGACAATTTTTTCAATTACATTAACCCTAGGTAATAAAGTTATGAGGTTAACCCTAATAGTTACCCATAGTCAATAAAGCCCTTTTTTATTATACACATGTTTAAATCAAAGTTAACCCTAAGAACCAATTAGTTCAGTTTTAAGGTTTCTGTAAAAATAAGTTTCTAACATTTCTGCCTAAAAGTCAGATACTTTAGCTGTTTTGAGATTAAAAGCAACATTTTAATCAGATGAACTACAGAACATTTATACAGAGCACACTGAATCAGAGAAGTCTAAAAACAAAATGGTACTTATCCCAGGTTCTAGAAGTCAGCAGTTGTATCCTCTTAAATCGAGTTGCACACTATCAGATGTTTTATCTGTTGCTTTTTAACTGTGCTCAACGGTTGGCTAGAACTTTGAAATCAATAGAATCAGTTTAAAATGTTCTATTAACCTCTTGATCCAACTATAATTTAAACACAGATGTGTTCATTTTGAATTTATTTTTAGCAAAAGGGTTAATTGTTGCCATTAACAAAGAAGGCAATTATTATTCTGGAAATATACAGTACAACTTTTGGATTATGCTAAATGTAAACATTTAATTTAACTTTAGATAATAAATGGTACTGCAGTAAATGCAACTCTGTAACTGTAATTACTTGAACTATATAACAGGGTTGCAGATCAATGCTAATGTTAGTTTTTACCTCAGGAATTTATGCTAGAAGAAGAAGGAAAGAACAACATTATATATTAAACTAAAGAAAGATAACTAAGATTTTAATGTGTCTTATTCTGATAATATGAGTAACAGGGTTGAGTGGGTAAGAGTAGCACACTCGTTCTACAGTGAAAGGATCAGACACATATGAAAATGAAAGGGAGAAGATGAATTGACATTGAAAATGTCCTCCTATTCTGGAATGACCCATTAATGATTTAGCTAGCTCGATCAAAGCAGGATATAACACATTCTGCCTCCTACACAAGAAAACTGAAGCTATACGCAGTAACACTTTTTCTCAACACAATTAGAGGATGGGTTAGCTAACAATGGCTAAAGTTAGCTAATATTAGCATACTTTAGCTGGATGTTGTTGTCTTTTTAGCACTCTCTTGTTTTACTTTGGGTTACTCTGGGTTCTGTACATGTGCACAGGCTAGCTTTTAATAACTATTGAACAAAAAGTGCATCTTTGAAGTAAATAAAAGTCAAAAGTGCTGTTAATTTGAGCCACCTGAATCATTTTGTTCTGTTCCAGGGAAGGTTCCTCCTGTGGTGAGCACACAGACGCCGGGCTTAAACTTCTCAGAGCTGGCAGTAGTTCCAACAGCTTCTAACTCCCAGAGTCGCACCTCCATGTGGATGACAATTGGTATTTTATTTGCCATCCTGCTGCTCATGGCTCTAATCCCCATTGTTGTGTGTGTCCTGCGCAGCAACTACACTAAACTCAGGTAATGGGACCTAACACGTCTTATTCTTTTGAGTAATACTTTAAAGTTATTTTTGATGAAGTGTGTGGTCATTGCTGAGTTGAGATGTTGAGAGTGTTGGAAGAGAAAGTAATCAAAATAACTACAGAACATGAGGTGTCATATGAAATTACAAAGCTTTATAATAGCGCCTTCATTGTGAAATACTTTCACACACGAGGAGATTAATGTGAGGAAAGATTTATGTGTAAAAGTACAAAGGTAATAGGTGAAATTGTTCCATATTAAAACTTTACTTTCAGCTCAAAAACGTACTTTGTCAGATAGTTTTGCACAAAAAGAACCCACTAGTGATAAAACGAGACTGCTCACACTGGTAAGGATTAGTTTAATGTTATTCAAGCAGTTTAAATTGCATTTAGAGTTGAGTTTGACTCGGTTACAGCTAGAGCTACAATACAGGCTGATGACTTGGCCTGTAAAATGTATCATGAAAGAGAAAGAACAAAATCCCCAAAAGGTATAACAAATGTATTTTTTTATAAATCCCATGTAGCATATAAGAAAGCATTCTGAAAGTTTATTAAAGGTGACCTATCGTGCAAAATACACTTTTGTACGTCTTTTATACACAAATATGTGTCCCCGGTGTTCCAGGGAACTCACCAAGTGTCAGAAAACACAACCCTCTTTATTTTCCTCCATACCCAAATCTCTAAAAAAAAGGGCTGCAACGGATCTGATACAGACTGATCCAGATTTGAACACTTCTCTGACGTCACAGAAGTTGCGCTAAGGCTATTGGGCCAGCTCCACCAATCAGGAGGAGACAGCCACGAACATTGCCGTTCGAAAGTGCTGGAGACGCTGCAAAGACAGTGCAAAGACAGTGGGCCTTTCTCACTTCTCTTATTTTTCATTTCCTCGCTCCTCGGTCTCGGTCTCACCGGAAGTTGATTTGTCTGTGCCATCTTGAGTAGCGTCCCAATGGCCTTCTTTTTGTCGGAGGACCGAGGAGCGAGGAGCGATAATGGAGGAGCTATAATCGAGGAACCACCAGACCATCCTCCGATGAAATCCTCAGACACTCGCCCCGCCCCCTTACTGTGTATCGCTCACTGATTGGACGATGAAGTGAATGCACTGATGTGATGCTTCTTGACATGAGAGCAGTTTCCCAGCGGAGTGAAGAACCATGTAGAGAGAAGAGTTGCGACAGCGGAAATCCAAAGTGCTTGATCGTCACGTGGTTCAGAGAGACTCAGAAAGTTCCCGGAAGTTTGTGGCGGGCCATGAATCACGATTTGAATGCATTAATAACAGGATAGAAATGTAATTTTTGGTAGTTAGTGGTCAATAAAGGTTTTGATTTGCAATATGTATACAACATATCGATATGTGTATGTAGTTACATCAATGTGTTTAAAGTAACAATGTGCTAATATTTGAGGATTAAGACAAAATAAGAAGTACTTTATTGATACCAATTGGGGAAATGTTTACGCTGCAGCAGCAAAAGACAAGGCATTGTACATTAGACAGTTAAAAGACTAGAATTAAAAAATCGAAAATGTAAACATCTTAAATAGAAATAACATAGCATTACAAAAAGTAGAAAATATACATGGATAGTGTGAGCAGCTATCTTACCTGTTAACATACTGTACATGTTAGGCTAACGTTGCCTTGGTTACAGAGCCTGTTGCTGTTGTTTATTGCTTTGAATTCTTTAAAACAAATATTATCTTCTTAAACTTGTATGAGTCAAGAACATCACATCCGTATTGATATATTTAGAGGGAGGAGATGGGAAGGAAGGTTTCAAAATTCTGATTAGAATCATTTCTACCATTTCTTTAATTCATGGTGATTTCAGTAATCCCCTGGTATTTGAGGACATAAGTAATCTAAACGACTAATGTAATCTTTATGACTTTCAGAAAGGACAGGAGACCGACAGGTGTCTATCAATGATTGTCAAGTGACAGCACAATGAGTCAAAGGACTAGCACGCAGCAGCATGATGATGATGTTAAATGTGTTGTTTTAGGAACATCCATGTAAATAAATGGAATTCAATAAACATTGAATAGCATGCGTGCAGTTTGTCTGTGCCTTTTCCTCTGTGTTGTCCTGGCATAGTCTCCCCCATGGTTTGCTTTGCTGCCTGGGGATGCTCCAATCGGAGTATGAATGTACGGCTTCCCCACTGACACAGAGAGGAGGAAAGAATGGCTGGCTCAAGTCAACAGGAGCAATTTAACTATCACAACAGACAACAACCGCAACAAAATATGTGAGGTAATCATATTTTTCACAAAACGAAGACGACACCATTGGGAAGCTTAATGTCTTTTTAATCAAAATAAGGAACAGGGAGAGGCTTGCAAAGCTCTGGGAGGTGAGACTCAGGCTCAGGGTGAGGGTCTCATTGCAGGTCTTCAGGCTCCATTGAATCCCCCTGGGGTTCTTGTGCTGAAAGAGGGAGACAAAGACAGGAGAAAGGGTTAGATACATCTAGCAACCTATAGGATGGGAAATTGCTGACCTATTTGAAACTTACCTTGTGTTTTCACTCTCACTTAAGTCCCTCTCCCTTTGCCATCAATCCAAAATCAGCTGAGCTGCAACATAATACAGACAGGTAATAATCAACAGAATCACAAGGACATCATATGGCTCTGCTAAAAACACTCACCCATAAATTACGTTTTTGTTTACTGTTTAGAAGTCTCAAATATCCACTCTAAATCCATATCAATAGCAATGTATCACAAAAATAGCTCTCTTCCTTATTAGTGTGTAACGTTAACTATATTATGCTAGCTTGAACTCCAAAATGGATATCCTCATTTCACCCACTACAATCACACGACCCAATGTTATATTTAACTAATATTTAACTCC